ACAAATCGTTTCGTGGTACGGAATACATGATTCAATATACAGGGAGGTGCGAAGCTTTTAACCGATGTTGTTTCAAGATCAATCCCAAAATTTCCACATGAAAAAGGTATTCTTGTTTGAATGCCGGACCGTTTTCGAGAAAGTGGGATTTTTCATTTTGATGTGCGAAAAAAATCACAATGACTTTGATATGATAAAAAAATTAGAGATTGATAATTGAAATATCACATTGACAGTTAGTTTTGTTTTATAAGAGTAAATCGTGATGCTAATTTGTTTAGGAAATATCCGCTAGAGAAATTGACTAAATTTCACATTCCTAGGTGTATTTTTTCTGACATCAAAGTGGAAATATTACTGAAAAGGAATATTCTCAGATAAATTATGAAGATAAAAAAATTAAAAAATGGATATACATATAAAGAAATACATTGAGAATTTGCATTCTCCTTCAGATGAAAATATGTATTTGCACATAACATCGTTCTGAATGTTTAACAGAAAACAACTACTTTATGATTCAATAATTGATATTTTCATCACTTAGAGAATGCGAATTCTCAATGTATTTCTTTATATGTATATCCATATTTCCATTTTTTTATGTTCATAATTTATCTGAGAATATTCCTTTTCAATGCTTCCACCCAATCATTGTATAATTTCGAATAAACGTGGATATATAGAGTAATTCAGTCAATCAGAAATCTAGAATTATTTCCATAGTAACCAATTCATATTGTTACATACAAACAAAGCGCGTTGGTTCCGAACTACTAAAAAAATAATCGCATTGAATGCAATTCGAACTTCAAACTATTCATGGTTATGCATCTCAAACTTCCTGCATAATTACAAACCGTGTCAGTTTAACATAATAATCCTCAACTATTTCAACTGTCAAACTGACACTCTTTGTAGTCATGCAACGAGTTATCAATGTATAACCCGAATATTTTGAAGTACTTATAGTATTACTACTGAATATTCTAAAATCATTGTATCAGGCAGATTTCCGAAAAACTCAGAATTTTGAGAAATAATCAGAATGTTTTGTCAAATATCAGAATTTTAAGAAAAATAATTAAAATTTTCTAGAAGACATCTCGGAAGTTTTGATAAAAAATATTGAATTTTCATGATTCTGATAAATAGTAAGAATACTATGGTGCTTGCATGCCATCGTATTAAAACTATATATATATATAGCACGCAGCACGTTTTTTTTTTCGCGCATGTTCCACTTGCACCAGGTTTGAAAGGTAGGATATATTTTTTTTTTCCGTTCAATTTGACGAAATCTGCTTTTGCACAATCATCAGATCCGTGAACATAATATAGGCGTTTTGAATTTCATTTAATTCAGAAAAACAATACTATATGAGGTGCGTTATGTTCGATTCATAGGATCCATATTGTACAGTGTGTCCCAACGAAAGTAGACCTCTGAATATTATAATTCCTTAAAAAATTGAGAAAATATTTCGAACGTGTCTTCAAGATGCCTACTCATCTCTCTACCCTATACAGGCACCCCTATAAAACTTTCAAATAAACAGTGATAATGTTTCAAATATTCTTGATCAGAATATTTTGTATTTAAACACAGAAAGCTCAAAGTCATTTCCACACAATGTTCATAAAATGAACAACAATGGTAGGTAGATTTCGGGAGAAAAACAACTACTTTCCTGGCAGGACATTTTATTACATCCTCCCGAAATCAATGCATCGACTCGTATAAAAATACTGATACAAGTGATTCTTTCCTGAATGTCTATTGATTTCGATTCAGCCAGGTCACGCTAGACACCTACAGACGGATTTCGAGCTCTTTGACTATCAGCAATAACCTTTCTTGGGAAAATCACTTGAGATCAATTGCTAAAAGTGCATTCCAAAAACTTGATTCTTTGTTTCGGGACAGGAGCTATTTCACTTTCAGTCAGATGCTTATGATCTATAAGGCACTGATACGACCTGTCCTGAAATACTGTTTCCATATTTGGAGTGCAGCACCCAAAACATACCCTGAAACTGTTGGATTCTGTCCAAAAAAGGGCAATTCGTCTCGTGGGTGATACCTCGCTCACGAACTCAATCACTTCTCTGGAACACCGTAGACAAGTTGGCGATCTTGCTTTATTTTATAGATATTTTCATGGACGATGCTCTTCTGAAATATCAACAATTGTTCCTCCATTGGCAGTCCCCGCGAGATTAACCCGTCGAGTTGTGGCTTCGCAACCTTTCGTGGTCACTTTGGAGACCTGCAGAACATCTCTTTCCAAAGACTCGTTTATCCAACGAACAGGGAGGCTCTGGAACACATTGCCAAGGGAGGTGTTCCCCGAGGCATATAACCTCCAGAAATCTAAGAAGACCAATTCCTTCCTTACCTTACCTTCCCTTGGTTCCCACGATGTTTTTCATAGCAATATGAAAGCAACGCCATCTAAGTCGAAAGAAGGAAAGAAACACTCCAAAACTGAAATTCCCATACTATCGAAAATCGAAATCAATAGGCATTCAGAAAAGAATCACTTGTAATGAAATGACTTGGAGATTTTTGTATTTATTTTAAATTTCGATCCACTTTGAGCACTTTGGTTATTGTCGAGGTTATTGTTTTTGTAATTCTATGTAACCAACTGGTGTTCATCAATATTTTAGAAACTAGCAGCAGAAAATCACAAAATTACAAATTTTCATTAGAGGGGTATCAGAGAGAAGTGATGGTAAGACACAAAAACGGCCCAATTTTTCATATAGCCCAATAGCCCTTAGCTTCTGAATTATCCATATTAGAGGTCATTTTTTGTGCAGAAGCGGATTTTTATATGGATGTAGACCTGATGAACAAAAATCATCTAAAACAGATAATTATTATATCATTTTTATCTTATCTGACAAGATTCCTCGAGTAAAATATCATATTTATATTTTAACGAGTCTGTGTTCAAGATGAGATGGATAAGTGAGATGATTTTTGTTCGATAATTTTTCATTTTGAGATATTTTGCATGCCGTTTCTTATGTCTCCAGAAGGTAATTAAATGCATGCTTTTCTTGAATTTATCACTCATTATCCTATTTTTTTTATTTCAGTATTTTATTGTTATTGTTATACTGATGTTATTTTAATTGAGGATATTCGTGGGAGGTCAACATTTCATATTATTCAATGTGATATTGTGAACATATCAATTCGATTTTTGATGATAATATGAAGGAATGCCTTTGAACAAATATCCACATTAGTTATCTCTTATCTCAAGGAGTCCATTATAATCAAAATAACGTCATGTAAACAATATGGACATAAAACTATTGCAATTAATAATGACTATTTTCATCTGAAACTATATGTCGAGGCTTTCCTTGTGTTTAGTTAATCGAAACAAATCAAATCAAATTGGTTAAATGTTGAAATCATAAATCTTAATTTGTCTTTAGTCTCTAAATTTATCTTTCCAAAATAGATTGAACAGGGTGATATTCTTAGCTCACCATCAGACCTTAACAGATCACATGGACGTAATTGCAAGTGTAAAACAGCATACTTATGATCGATTATGTTCTTTCTTATTACGAGTACATGTTCTAGGTATTAGAAGACTTCAAAATTCTCTGCAAGGTGTCCCTATTCAGTTTTACTATTCAGTTCGAAAGATATGAAAGTTCAACTAATTGATTTTTTTAAATAAATGTTGCATTTCTGTAAAACAATCCTTTTCCAAAATCTATGTGATGATGAGAAACAGGGACACCCTGTATAGGCGACACCAAGTTTATATGATACCAATTTCAATCAAACATCCTGTATATACATACGGGTGTACCTATATCAAAATATCTAATTCTCAACATATTTTGGTCATTCAAAACCTGTAATAATTTTTCACGAATTTTTTCAATCTGTGCTCACTTTTTCTTATCATCAACAAAATACAGGGTGACCCAGAAACTTTTTTATTCAAATGAAATGATTCATATCCATGGAATTATGAAAAATGATATGGGTAATTTCATTTGAAGAAAAAAATGTTATGAAGCGCCATGTATTTTGTTGGTATAGAGAAGAAGTGAGCTCAGATTGAGAAGAATCTTGAAAAATATTCCAGAAATCACACATTCAAGTGACATACCCTGTACATACATACAGTTTCCGCATATTCTTCACTTCCCGGCCGTTCACTTCCGGTTTTACATTTTGGATTTCTGGCACAGTTCTAGATCAGAATGTGAAGTTTTAGAAAATGTTACACCTACTTGATTTTCTTATAGTCACTTCCAAATAGCATCCTGATAATCAACTTTCACTGTTATCACCGAAGTATATTGAGTGTTTTGTTTTCTGAAGGAGATTTTAGAAACAAAATTGCAAAATATAATGCATCATGGCCAACCATGACGAACTTAACAAAGGTAAATAGATAACTATCCAGTATATTCCTTCACCTAATCCAATCTCAAATAAATTAGTGTCATTAGGTTTGTCAAAATATCAATTGTTCGGAAAGTACTTATGAAGATCCAGAATTGTCACAGAAATCAGAAAAATTTTACAATATTCAGTGAAACCGGAAGAAGCCGAAGATTGAAAAATATGCCCAACCACTTCTTTTTACATACCATTTACGTAAACCAAATCTCATTTTGATACACCTAATATTTTGGAAGACCTTGAAGTTATGACTCGTTTAATAGATTAGTTGACACCCGGTTTATCATTTTGAGTAATGAGGAAAATACATTATATGGTGTTGGTTAAATGAAGAAAATACAAAATGTATGCTTGCATTTGCTTATGCCACTCATCAGAGAGATATCATGCACACAAAAACATATTTTTTTGATGATTTGCATCATTAGTGATAAGTCGAGTTATTCAATACGTTCCATAAAAATAATATGTAATAAATGAATGTTGATAAATGTACAGTAGCAATTCACGAGTGGAGGTGAATCTCTCCTAAATTAATCGTCTATTTTTGCAGAACGAGTGCAGTCACCAGCAAACCCTCAACTAATTCCACACGCAATACCTGGCAGTATCGAATACCTGTCACCTAGCTCACAAAAAATGTATGGATACACCGGAGATCAAGTCCTAGACATGGATGTCAACAGATATCTTCCCAATCAGTATTATCTACAAAGAGGTAGCCCTATGTATTCCACTTTGCCACTGAAGAAAACTCAATACCTCACGAACGAAGCCAGACCAGAAAGATCAGTCACACCTGATATAACCAGAGGCCTAGAAAGGAACAACGGGAACAGCCTAGATAGGCGAGAGGCTATCGAGGAGTCGCCTAGAACTTTTTACACCTTCAGTAGAAATGCTCCTGTCCAGAAACTTGGCATTCCTATACAAATGCCAGATATCAACAGGTTGAATTTACAGAACACAAGCTATACACCCACCAAGCTGGATCCAAGAGGATACACACCAAGCCAAATTCGTGCCAACGACGAACCGGATTCTCTGAAAATATCTCCTATTGATCCCAGACATTCCGGTGGGTTCCAATCATCCACACCTTCAGGCAAATCTTCGGAACTGAAAGCAGCTGTTAACTTAGATCGCAAGCTCTTGTCCCCAAAGAAATCAACAATGTCCAACGAGGAACTCTACGCAGTTATACACAAGAGCAAAAAGAAGATGAACATAGAAACGGAAGACACCCCCAGAAACTCACCAGTGACAGTACAGAACGATCCACCTAGAAACACTGTCCAATCCCCTGAAACTGGCTACATAGGAGATAAGTCAAGAGGTAGACTCAGCTGGTCACCAAACAAAGGCGAATATGTGGACTTCAGCTCGGACATAGACAAGCTATCACCTCCGAACGAATCAAGGAGTAGACAAAGCTGGGCTTGCAATGACAGAAAGCCCAAGGCCAAACAGACTTCGACCATAGACTTCAAGAGGCTGCTACTGCAGAAATCTAGCATCAGCTCCCCAAAGAAGATCTCCGCTGTTGAACAGCTGAAGCTTTCAAGGGAGCAGATCAAACCTTCACAAGCCAAACCTCAGCCGGAGATGAACATACTGAACCTAAGTGCCTCGCCTAGGAGCCTGGTGAACAGGCGGTTTTTGAACAATGCGCCTGGGTCGCCTAACAGAGAACCTAAACCAGTTGCCAAAATCATGTCCCCTAGGTCTCAATGGAGATTCACGAACCCGAGAAGCGATGTTCTCTCTTCTACAATACTGGAAGATTGTAGAGAGGATGAGAGCCCTAATAGTTCTGGGGAGAGGAAAGCCTCGCCGAAATCTGGAAGCAAGATTGTTAGTACAAAGGATGAGAGTCGAACGTCGCCTAAGGGCATGCCTAGAAACTATTTAGAGAATCAGCCGTACACTTCTGCCACTCAGAGGCTTTATGCTCAAAGAGCTCAATTTTTCAATCCGATGACAGAGAAGAGTCAGTCGGAGAGACAAGATATTGAAGAAAAACAGGATCCACCTACTTTAGAAACTGCGTTTTAGTTTAGTTTTTTTATATATTTATTGACTTTAATTTTGTAAATATAGGTTGTGTTTTCGAGTTTTTATTATTTATTGGTTTTTACTGTCTAGTCGACGCATAGAATTAGAATTTTTACATTTTATTATTTGTATCTGGTACTATCACATTTTTACATTTTTTTATGTATAAACAACTGCTGTAAATATCGATTTGGTAAAGCTTTCCAAACAAAAAATATTTCATAAAGTTGCCTTAAATTATTAGAAATCTTAATATATTAGTTTTTGTAAATAAAAGTTTGATTTGGCTAATAAGAGATTTCTTTAGTATATACCTACGAGAAAAATTGCAAATAAAACTGAAGAGGCAGTGGGTCAAATTCGTTATTTGGAGTTTTCTGTTGAACTAAGAAAGAAGGATTAATTTAAATCTCAAATACTACCAGCCAACCTGGATCACACATTGTAAAACCCATATCATTGGCACAATATTGGCATTTGTTGATGGTGAATCTCGAATTTGTTCTCTTTTCTTACTCATTGTTGGCCCGGTGATGACAGACTGACGTATTTTCAGTGCATTCCCAATGGAAATTAGGTAATTTATTGGCGATTTCTGTTGTCGCTGATTACTCATACAGGGAAAAACCAAACTAACTATCTCACCCATTAATTTTCAACACCCTGTGATGAAAGTGAGTGGTTAAACTTGGCTTCAATATGCTTTGGATTGAAGTTTGATCCCTTCTTAACACAATACTTTTTTATTCAGGTCAATATCTTATTTTCAAGAGAAGATACGAGTGTTTTAAGAAAGTGTGGCATTCTTCAATTTGTATTAACAATACTCAGACCCTACGTGAACTCAATGATTAACAGCTCGAAGAATTAATATCACTTATTTATACCTCATTTTCTTAGCACTCACTGTAAAAAACCCTAATTAAAAAAAACAAACATGAAGCAGACATGTAGTCAATAACGAGTATGTCCTCGAGTTTGAAAGGGGAAGTTTTCTATATCGAGGTTTTTATCTTATTGTGAAGTTTAAAAAAAAATTGATATATACTCATTTTTTATTCTTTTCGTGAGAGCAAATTTCACTTCAGAATGAAACAAATAAAATAGGAACTTGGCTCCTCCACCATGCCAATAATGACTTACTTTCTGAAAATCCACATTCACACAGAGTTAAAATACGATTCCCTGTGCCAGTACGACGTTGCCGACATCATCAATATGTCTAGATTTCCGAAAATTGTTCTTTGAATGCATTAATTACTATATCATAACAGCAATGGGATATAATACGTTCTTCAATCCTACTTTGTCAAGTATTATGAATAATTCCCATTAATCTCTCATTGGCTGAATGAAGTTGATTATCAATAAAGATGAATTATGATATTTAGCGATAGTATCTATAATTTTTCACTATCGTTATATCACAATATGTTATTCATCACTTGTCAGTCATTTTTTGCTAATGAATTCGTTCCTTAATAAAACGGATCTATTATCTAAAAAAGTTGCAGATTATATCTTGAACAGCGCATAATACTTGGAGTACGTCCACACCACTCAAAATACTGACAGGCACAACAAGAGGAAGGAGCCATGGGTGTCGGCTTCATTTTGTTCTGACCGATGGCAGTAAATTAGGCAGGATAGTATCATAGAATGTAGCCGATAGTGATTCATTGATTCAATGATATTTTCGTTCAGGATCGAGCTCCATTCGAGATATTTCAATGCATGATAACAAAACCATAACCTGTCAGAATTAAGCCAACTACCCTATGCATTCCTGCTCCGAGTGCATTTGTGGTTATGTATGTTTTTGTTTGCAAGTTTCACTTCTTTCATTCGTTTTTCATACATAAGCTATTCGTTAGCTATTCGCTAGCTATATTCTTTACTATCAGCTATTTTCAGACTATAGATTCAGAACGTACGTCACAGTTTGCTGCCCCGAAAATTAGAAATTGCTTTAATTTGAAAATGAAAACGACTTTGACTTCATCGGTCGCCATTCTGTACAGCGTGGACATGAAACTGAAGAGTTCCGAAATTCCCCATTACATCAGCTTTCAACTGCCGTAGCGTCGAGTTGATTAAATTTCTTAAATAGTCCTATGATGAATTGACTAAAATTATCCTTGAAGGGCGAAACGTGGCTCTTGAAGAGTCTCTGACATGGCCAGACGATGGCTAATGAGTCTCTGGGGTTCATCCCTATAAGATATATCGGTTCTCGGAGTTATTATAAATAAAAGTTAAAAAATTCCATACGTTCCTGAAACAGTTGTTTTTTCTCTTAAAAATAAGATAGTGATCCGAAAAACACATTATTGGAATGCTCAATCAATTCAGAAGACTGAAATTTCTTCAAAATCTTGCCCCACAATAGACTTTTCTTTTTTTTTCTCTCCTTTACACTAGCAAATTTAATAACTCCATATATCTTGTACATTTAATAATGATGAATTTGAATTCCATGTATAATCATTGTGTAACACAGGTTGAAGGACCTCGGACGGTGGCCTTTTGGGTATCCAATAAAGCTCCTTAATTATTAATTATTATTAGTATAGTGACGTGAACCATTGTCTTAAGAAAAAAACGGAAAAGGATCAGATTACAACTCAAAACATGATGAAGCATCGATGAAGAACCTAAGAAATTGTTGATACTGCTTCTGCAGTAATCTTAATTTGCTACCAGTGAAATCCAGAAATCTGTATGATGCAGCTCATACCCGCTTCTGAGAATGGTGTTCCAAAAAAAAAGGGCAGAGCTATTCGGAAAATGTACGTTAAGTAGGTATAAACTCCCTAGGGAGAAAATATGTCACATTATCTCACTAGGGAATAATACGCCACTTCTGCCCCTCTTTTGTCACCGGAGAAACTAACTCCTACTCCCGCCGACGTAAAAAAAATTATAAATTGTCGCCCAACTCTCGCCAGATGAAGTAACTTGTAGACCTTCAGTTGCCTCAGAGATCATACACACCTGTAGACATACAGTTGCCTGTACAATTGCAGTTGCCTGTATAATTGGCGTTGCCTATATAATTGCAGTTGCCTGTATAATTGCAGTTGCATGTACAATTGCAGTTGCCTGTATAGTTGCAGTTGCCTATATAATTGCAGTTGCCTGTACAATTGCAGTTGCCTGTGTAATTGCAGTTGCCTATATAATTGCAGTTGCCTGTATAATTGCAGTTGCCTGTATGATTGCAGTTGCCTGTATTATTACAGTTGGCTGTATAATTGCAGCTGCCTATAGACCTGCAGTTGTCTGTTTATAAATAATTCGGTAGTTGTATGATTCGCTGACAGATGACGCCATATAGCAGTTGCCTGTATAGTTGCAGTTGCCTATATAATTGCAGTTGCCTGTACAATTGCAGTTGCATGTGTAATTGCAGTTGCCTATATAATTGCAGTTGCCTGTATAATTGCAGTTGCCTGTATGATTGCAGTTGCCTGTATTATTACAGTTGGCTGTATAATTGCAGCTGCCTATAGACCTGCAGTTGTCTGTTTATAAATAATTCGGTAGTTGTATGATTCGCTGATAGATGACGCCAAAATATAATTTGATGGTTTGTCGCCTTACTAACAGATGGCGTGTGTAGGATGGTTCAACTGTAGGTTTAATTACTATAGAGTCCCTGTAGTTTTATTTTTTTTTTTTTTCAATATATTTCTAGATTGGATAATATACCTTTTATTGGGGTTTTGATTCTTGTGTTGGGAAAAATGACGCATTGGATTCTGATTTGTTTCTGTAGTATAGCTAGTCCTACTAGGTATATATGTACATAACTAAAACCCGAAACTATATACAACTATATATACATATCGCTAGGTTTTAATAAGGTTCCATTTTTAGGTAGTTCCTACGTGAATAAAAAAGGCGAAATAAAGGTCTATAATGACATTAGTCAAAATTTGAAGCTCGTTTACTGGATCGACATCATGCACATTTTCGATTCGAATCTTCCATTAGAATTATTTGAATAAATATCTCCCTCCTATATAAAATGTCACTGGATTTATATTCTTGTAAGTCATATAGTCAGGATTTTATGTCAGAATATAAGAAATGAAGACTTCTTGCACTATCCTGTATTTAAAAATGGATGGAAAATATGTCATAGAGAAACATAGTCCTCAGCGTACTTAGCGCCCGATGAAAATATTGTTGTTAGGTATAACATTCAGTGATCACATAATTACAATAGGAATCATTCATTCATATTGTTTTCAAAGAATAATTTGAACATGCGACTAGAATTTTCAGAATTGTCAACCACACAACTGAGAATTAAGAAAGATGAATACATGGAAATCCCATTGGGGTTTTATAAACTTGTATCTTTCAATTAAACTAACAATTGACAACTGAGAAGATCTTGTCGACTAAGAATTAACAATTATGAATTCAACGCATGCGCATAAGGCATAATATTTTTTGATGAGACCGCGAAAATATGAGATAGATCTTGTCTATGGATTGTTTAGATTTTGAATTTAACTTCACTTTTCATGAAAATACTTACAAGTAACTCCCATTATAGTGGCTATCGTTTGCCAAGCATTTTCCTCTTTGACTTTGTTTTTGAAATCCATGTTTTTCTTGTCATAGAGTAGTCTAAACTGGGACACCCCCTCTATCAATTCACCGTCGTCCATTATTTTGATTAAACTTTCTCTGTATTATGAGATATTTTTCATCAGGAAGGAATACAATCCTTTTATCAAACATAACATAACCAAAAACAAAAATAAAGAATGAATGATTATTTATCACAGAACGCTCAGAACGGTTTCTTTACTCTAAACCCAACTAGCATTTTCAGTCACAGGCACCATGGTTCAAGAAACTATTACCTATATTTAGTGATAATAACGTATTTATCACTCATTTCAGAACTTCATAGTATAAATGTCAGTGATAGTTATTTAGTGAGTGAAAATTACGTAGTTTTTACACTAGATAATAACTTCAAAGTGAGAAATTCTCATGGCTTATTACGAAGTAACTATTTCGAAACTGTCACTCCTCAAAACTACTCTTAAGGTTTCGGAACTTTGGATATATTATTACGGTAACGCTTACCACCCCAAGAAGGCTTCACAGTTGCAATTACTCTATGGTCACCAATTAGGTTTCTACGACGTTGTCGTTACTTGATCGATCACCTAATAATTTAGTCAATTCTTGGTGATATTTCAAGTAACATATTGGTAATTCCTACTCAAACAATTCCTTCATAGTTGAAACAACTTTTCGGTAATT